CCACTGGAAACAAATCTGCCTCTTGTATTCTATTAGCATTTCAAAAATGTTCAGTATCTCCATTTCATAAGATCTGAAAATATTGTTTGGCTTATGGAGGAAAGAGTGGGTAAATCTTTTACAGCTCCTTTATTAAGGCATTGAGGTATCAGAGAGAGCTGCTTCAGGCCTGGGCCTCTCACTTGAGAATCCCACTCCCCAAATGTAAGAACTCTCAATACATCTGTCTTATAGTTGTGGGTCTATTCATAGTCAAAAAATGATCAACAGAAGTCACTCAAAGCTGACCCTTGCCAACTATGTAACCTTGTCAGGTTTAAAAAAAAAGGAAAGAGATGTGTAAGCTCATACTAGTCTACAATTTGCTTTGAAAAAAATAAGCAGTCTTGTAAAACAGTAATATTATAGAATGTCCTACTGGCCCAGAGCACTAGTTAATACTTCCCAAAGCAGATGTGTATTAGATTCATTGCCAGTTCAAGGCATATAGAACCCTTTGGCTGCAGCCCCCCGTGGACCCTGCTGCGCTGCCTCATTGTGGCAGGGAGGGGGGTGTTCCTGGGGGGGGATGAGCGTAGAATGCCAGAATGTATTCCCAGCAGGGTCATCCAAGTCATGAAGATCATCCCAGCTGCCCAGCAAAAGCAAAAGGCACCTATATCGTGCAGCAGCTATATAGGAAGATGCTGGAGACAGATGATTGCTTCAGTGACAATGGAAAAGCATCATTTCATACTGTGTGGGAGAAGGCAATTGTAAACGACTTCAGTATTTTACCAAGAAAACCACAATGTGCAAACTAACATGCAATGTCTTTAATTTCACACGCTAGCAAAAAAATGCTTAGGATCACCCAACGCAGATTAGAGCACTACATGGTTAAGAACAGTGTCAGATATTCAAGCTGGTTTTAGAAAAGGCTGAGGAACAAGAGATAATATGGCTAACGCACTCCATGTAATTCAGAAAGCCCAAGAATCCCCCGCCCCATCAGCATGTGCTTCATTGATTAGCCTTTGATTGTGTCAATCATATCAAGCTGTGGAATGTATTCAGTAAAATGGGAAGCACAGAACCTCTCATTGTCCTCACACTAAACCTGTATATAGGTCAGGAAGCCCACAGCCTAGATGGAACATGGAGAAACAGACTGGCTCTAGGATGGCACAGGAGTAAGACAAAGGTGTACAATCTCTCCTTATTTATTCAACCTATCCGTTGAATATATATTGAGGGAAGCTGGATTGGAAAACAATGAGTGTAGTTTTAAAATTGGAGGAAGAAACAATAACTTTGCTGATGACGCCTCTCTGGTAGCTGAAAATGCAAATGATCTGCAAGCTCTAGTGATGAAACTGAAGGAGCACAGTGAAAAAATGGGACTAAGTTTGAATATAAAGAAGATCAAATTAATGACAACGGGTGTCGCAAACTGTCTTAGAATCGGCAGAGAAGATACTGAGGTGGTGGTCAGCCTGTGCCTTTCAGAATCAACATTCAACAGAAAAGGAAGCAGCCGTCACAGACCAGCACTTGTTAGAGTAGCAATCAAAGCCTTGGAAAAGATATTTAGATGCTGGGATGCGTTTCTGTCTGAAATCAGAATCATGCGATTGTTTTCCCTCTACGGAAATAAAACCTGGACGCTGAAAGAAGCAGGATAAAAAGATGTTTTTGAACTTTGTTGTTGAAGACTCTTAACAAGAGCCAAGAAAACAAACAAACTGATCATAGAACAAATCAATCCAGAGTTCTCACTCAAGGTACAAATTATCAGGCTCAAACGATCATATTTTGAACACAGGATGCAAAGACCTAGCTCTCTGGAGAACTCTATAATGCTAGAAAAGGTAGAAGGAAAGAGAAAAAGAGGATGAGTAGTCAGATGGATGGACTAGATTACAGGAGTGATGGCTGAACTGTTGGAAGACCTGAAGGGCCAGGTTGGGGTCAGATTATCTTGGAGAAAATCTATATAGATGGTCACTAAGAATAGTTATGAACTTGATGGTACATAATCAATCATCAATCAAGACTACAGAAGCTACAATGGAGAAAGATAATGCAAAAAAAAAAAAAGCTGAATTAAGAGAGGAGAGAAAGTACTACAACTTTTACCATATTGCACACAGAGAAACAAACCATTTTCGCTGTATTTGACCATTTCTGAGGATACTCCAAAAGCAGCTTTGCTGCTAGATTATTGATTTCAGTGAGACAACAGAAGAAATGAAGAATGAGGTTATTTTCACACAATCAAAAAGATCAGAGTCATAACCTGGCAACTCTTTCTAACCCTGATAATAGCAGCATGATTACTGAGTCACTAAACAGAATTAGAAATGCAGGAAAATATCACAGCTGCTTTTCCATTGTGCATGTTAATTTAAATACAGATTCAAATTTTTTTAAAAAATGAGAAAGTAATCGAGTACTGACAAAGAGGACAAGGATACCTGAAAAACAGATATACTGCTGCTTAAATATTGGATTTGACTTACTTTAACTGCTTCAATTGTAAAATTATTTAAAATTGATTTATGATTTGACATTCAATTGTATGTTGTATTTTGTAAGCTGCCTTTGAAAGACTGCAATCTTGAAAGATAGCTAAGAAATGCATTTAATAACTTGATAAAACAAAGGAATATTTAGCATAAATCCCTAGAAGGAACAAAATTTCAAATCCTGCCGATATTCCTGGACAGGTTATTCATCATCCAATAGGGAACTGAATTCATGATGCTTCTTTTTATTATGTGATATTCAGATACAACTTAGAATCCAGAGAAATGAAAAGTTATTGCCCTAACATTTTTTAGTAATGGTTTTAATTGATGTTTTATGTATTTAATGTTTGTTGTGAGTCGCCCAGAGTTCCCCCATCAGGGGGAGATGGGTGGGTGAGAAATTTAATAAATAATAATAATAATAACAACAACAACATGGAAACTTCTCCACTGATACAATGACTGCAGTCTTTTCATCCCAGGAAAAGTGTTATTTTCCAAATTGCTCAGGGGCCTGCCAGTTTTTAACGTTCCAGTGCTGTGGAGTTAATTTTCAGGCACAGAATATCACCTTCTCCTACAAAATTAGATTTTATTTTGATAGGTAATATAGCTCAACCACCTCAATGGACGGACTGATATAGTAGGTACAGGAAAAAGCCATCATAAAAAAGCATATAGTTGCCTGCTTTCAGACGCAAACTATGCAATTCCCATTTTAAAATATTACATGCTTTTTAAAGGCACTGCTGAGTTTCCCCTTGTCCCTATTTGAAATGGATTATTAACCTTTGCCCAAACACCATTGATATTGGGAAGGAGCATTCTGGGGTTTTCAGAATTTTCTCATTTTCCTCCTCTTGTCAAGGTTCCATTTGTGGCAAGGGATTCTCAGTGTAGGAAAACGGAAAATAAAAACATGCAATGGTCACCAACCACAGAGAGTGAGAAAAGAAAGGCAAAAATTTTGTTATATAGGAAAAACATGGGAAAAGAGTGGGCTGGATTTTAAATAGAAGACGGTATAAATTCTGTACCAATTTCAAGGCCACTCAGCAACTCAACTGTTGGTAATGGCAATGGTTCCAGAATTATAATAAAAATGCAGTTCCTAGCTGTGTTGTCTGAGTCTCTTGGGAAGTTCAGCCTCCTGCGTGACTAACTTATGGAGTGTGACACCTCTGAGGTTAGAGAATATTCCAGCCTTAGAAGAGAGCATCGAATCTTGGAAGCACCTTGGAAAGAGACTTTTTCCAATGCTGGCACTGGCAAAAGGCAAAATCAAGCACTCCACGCTTGATCCAGAAAGGCATAGCAGAAAAGGCTATCCTTCTGCTAAAGTCAGAGGGCTCCTGACTTGTAGTCATGGCCAAACCAAAAACAAATCTAGATTTACAGCCTGCGTTATATAGTTGTTGAGGTGTTGGAGTAGGACTTGGGAGACCCAAGTACTTGTCCACTTTTAGCCCTGGAGGCTCACAGATCTCACAGGTTTGGGGGAAATCTTGAGGCAGAAGTGCCTTTGTCTGAACTCATGGAGGAAAGGTAGGATAGAAATCCAATGAATGGTACAAATAATAAAACCATGAGTTGAGTAAGGGAGGGAAACTATTGTCTTCCTTCACTTATGGACTGCCAGCTGGAGCCTGACAGGGCTTAAGACATATCGGAGGCTGTAATGGCAGAGCTCATCAAACATTAGGTAAAACAGCTCTACCTGCAAAATTAAGATCCTAAGCTTGAACAAAAATATACACACTGAGGATCATGCTATTCACTTAGGTTGCTATAAACTATATATACAATGCTGTCTGAATCTTTAAGAAAATTCATTCAAAATTTATCAAAGATGAACTTCAGAATTTGAACACCTTTAATAAGACATATTAATTATTCTACAGATAGTATTACGGTTAGGTTGATCCAAATGTAAAATGATACAAATGCAGATTCTCATGGTTCAAAAGAGTTTTTGAGAAGTTTTGCAAGTCAGGCTTTCAAATAAGACATCTGGATTATTTATACCATACCACCAGAGAAATAAAGGCTCAGAAAAATGTGAATTGTACACTGGCTGTAGCAATCTATGAGAGTCAGGACCCTCAGTTGCTTTGTACAGTTTTAAACAGGCTACAATGAACAACAAAAAGAGTTGTTATTTTGGTGTAATATACTGATGTTCAAGTATCGGTTACTTGATAATATACTTGATAATTGATAATAATACTTGATAACTGATACATACTGCTCTTCAAGTATCTATTAAAACTTCTTTGTTTTGTGCTTACATATGATTCTCACAGAACCTTCATTTGGTGGCAGGATGGCATGTTAATACTCTTTAGTCACCAGGAATCAAGCTCAATTGTAGAGCTTTGCTTTAATCTGTTTTTAAAACTCTTCGTTTATGGGCTTCAGATGGCCTCCACAGAGCTCTCACTTTGCGGCAGAACTAACAACATAATTATGTTTAGCTTTTTTTAAAAAAAAAAGGGAAAGAAGCAAAAAACAAGATTAAATTAATGTAGCTTGAATTTTAGAGACTAAATTCAGCTTCTTAAAATATTTCCAACTGGTTAGTTTCTCAAAATAAACAAAAGCCCACTGGATTACAAAACTGTATAAATAATAATTAAATATGGTACGGTTTCATGTCAGTATAACTTCATGGTAATTGAGACAAATGGTAAACAGCACATTTATTTCTCCTTCTTTGAATCTATTCCCTCTGGTAGTATTTTTTTTTCTTGTTGTGCAGTCAGTTTAACTTCCTATTTTTCTGAAAAAGCTTTTATGTTTCTCTCCCTTTGTAGCTTTACCCCTGGGGGCTCTTCCTCATTCACTATTAAGTTTATTATTTGGAGTTTGAAAGCGTTAAGTCATTTTGCAATAGAAGAGCAGTTTATGGAAACCTTAAAGTTTGTGAGCTGCATAATTATACTAGAAAAGTACATATGCATTTTTGTTAGGAATATATCATATTACTCAAGCGGTGCAATCTTTGCTAGATATTGTATTGGTAGTTGAAAAATCATTCCCTCTAGTAGCAAACACAGATATGTTTTGACAGTACTGAACCTCCCAGAACACAGCACTGAGAAACAAGAGGACATTAGTTGTCCGCTTGGAGCTGTGTGTGCCTTTTAGAAAGGCCAAAGGGGCAACACCTTCAAAAAAATCCATACTATGACAACCCAATGACAATTTAGCAAGCTCACTAACAACGGTTAGGTGGAAAAGAAAGAGAAGATGAAGGGTAGGGAGGAGAAAGATAAAGAAATGGGATGGCTAGCCAGTAGGGCCAGAAGTAGCCCAACACACTTGAAAGGCATCAAGTATAGGAAGACTGCTTTACATAGAGACAAAACCACATAGACATGCTCTCATGGATTATGTATGCACTCTTAAGAGCATAGAATTGCACAAATTCATCTTCTTACAAGATACGGCTCCAGGGAAAAAAGAAAAAAAAAACTTGCCTGTTCAAATTCTTCCATATCCACTTCTCCATCACCATTTAGATCAAACATCTTGAAAGCAATTTCAAAGTTTCTCTGAGGAGCTAGAAGGAAAATAGTATATTATAGACATTACATTATGAAGTAATAAGAAAGCAGCAAAAATGATTTAAGAGTGGTGTTAGTGCTTAACTTTTTAAAAAGGTGTACTTGTTTTCCCAAGTATATTTCTTGGAGTGGATTTTTTTTCTTGTTATTGTTTCTACAGCTTTGTTAATATGTATATCTTAATAGTCCTCTTTAGTAATTTTCTTGTAAAAATATACTACCCCTCTTGGAATTAGGAGCTCAGCAGGCCTATTTTTCTCCAGTATGTTCATATTACATTTCATAACTTTATTTATGGATCCCGGTACAAAACATCCAATGTAATTTCTGTCCTTTCCAGGAAATAGGATAGAGGAAGCTTAAGGAGAAATGGAGGATCTTATGCTGCTAAATTAAAAGTCCCAAATCTAAGCATGAATTTAACTGTCAGATAGATGAAAGGAAAGCACGCCGATCAATTTGTGTGAAGAATTTGGTGGAAAAAGTGGGACAATGAAAGGTTTTAATTAACCCATTTGCAATGTAATCCCAACAAGATTCTGTGTGGAAAAACAGACAAATGACAACTTCTGTACTGTTTACCTGAAATCAAATCCTATTGTTTTCATCTGGAGTTACGTCCTATTAAATATTGCAGCCTTAGATAACTAAAAAGATACAGGAAGATGAAGGACAGAGTATACGAGCTTCTAAAAATACATTGGTAGACCACACACCCTAACCTATTCATCCTGAGATCTTTAGACTAGGAAAATTAATAGGTCTTTCTTCCTCTTCCCTATTGTTCCAAACATTCAGAAGAATATTAACTAAAGTCTAGTTGCTGCAATGGTTACCGTACCAAAGAAATATCTTTGTAATATCCATATTACAGCTCTTTTTGCCAGAGAATATTGAAAAATGTTGATCATTTTTTGACTATGAATAGACCCACAACTATAAGACAAATGTATTGAGAGTTCTTACATTTGGGGAGTGGGATTCTCAAGTGAGAGGCCCAGGCCTGAAGCAGCTCTCTCTGATG